AAACCAAGAATGCCTCCAGACAACCGGGGGGTGGGGTCAACCTTGGCCTCGAATTGGGAGCAGGTTCTCTAGAACTGGAGCGGTCTCCTACACAGCTGCCGAGGGTAGCCCCCTGAGAAATGAACTGTTCCGGGTGTCTCCTGACTTTCAGTGCACGGCCACATCATGCTACCTAACTTGTGGCAAATTGTTGATTTATAAGTAAGGATCCAGTCCAAGTTCATGTACTACAATTGGCTACTTTGGTCTCTCTGCGTCTGGAACAGTCCCCAGCATTTGTTGTGGCATTGACTTTTTGTAGAGTCCAGGGCAAATGCCCTGCTGTGGATCTATCAGGTTGCTTCCTCGTGCATTTAACCTGCTTCTCCACTCTCTGGGTTTCCTGTACACTGGACTGCTGGTAGAAGCCTGATTAGAAACAGGTTTAATGTGGCAAAAATTCCTCCTAGCGGAGCAAGGCGCCCTTCCCCAGAAGGCAGGCACTGTCCATCTGCTCCAGGATTCGTGTTTCTATCAAGAATGGATGTCGGATTTTGGTAGACCCCTTTTTGGCAGCTCTTGAGATGATCACATGGTGAATCATTTTCTGTGACTACAGTGAATTACAGTTACTTGAATTCCATCCTACTTGGTCGTGCTGTAGTATCCTCCTTATGTATGCTGGATTTGATTTGCTAAAATCTTAAGAATTTTTTTGTCTATTTTCATGAGAAACTGTGGTCTATAGTTTTCATGTAATATCATCTGGTTTGGGTATCAGGGTTTTTGCCAGCCTTATAGGATGAGTTTGGAAGTGTTCTCTCCTCTTCTGTTTTCCAGAAGAGTTTGTGTATAATTGGCATTACTTCTTCCCCTAAATGTCTGGGCGATTGTCTTTTTAAATTTTTTTATTGAGCTGTAAGATGCATACAGTTTAATCCCAAGGGCATGGCTCATTATTCCTTATTGCTCAGACTGTGCCATGTGTGGCCAGTGGGGGCGCTCCAGGCTCCTTTAGATGCCTCCCCATCATTCCGTGAGTACTTTCTTGCTTTCTGGTTCCAGAGCGTGTTCAGGCTCATCTTTTGTTTTCTCCCTGTCTCAGTCCTGGAATTCGCCATTTTTCCACAGGGCCCTGGTCCCTTCTAGTGGGATGGGGAGTTTCAGTAACTCCCTGGGCCCATTGCTGTTTGGGCCAGGCCCTGGTTCCACCAGCAGCAGGCATGCCTGCGTTGACTTTCTGTTTCTCCTTTTTGATTTGCCAGGAGTGACTGGCTGCTCCTGCCTCCTTTGTGTTCCCTGGGCATGTCTAAGGTCAGGCCCCTTCTGCCCAGGCAGCCGGCGTGGCTCTCTTCTTGCCTTTTGGTTGCCTACCTAATGGAATCTGGTAGTGGACCTGGCACTTGTAGCAATGTTTGATCAGTAGAGTGAAGGAGATGACATTTCCCTGCTTCCCTGTGTTATGGAAATGTCTCAAGGGAGCTCTTGGTTTGAAACATATTTCATGTGATAAATGCCATCACTGAGGTGTGTACAGAATGCCAAGAAACAGAAGATTGGGGAAGGCTGCAGGCACAGTGGAAGCCAGGCTACCTGCAGGGGAGCCTCAGGGACCCTGAAGGTCCCTGGAAACTTGCCACCAGAGAAGAGCTGCAACATCAGGGCTCTTCCCAGGAACAGAGTGTTGGGTTTCACGTTTCTTGTGGCCAGGGACCCCTCCTTCCTGGGGAGCTGTAGCCATTGGGCACTTACTGGTCACTGGTGCCAGCTGTGGGGTGCTGCATGTTCTGTTTCATGGTAGTTTATGTCCCATGATCGCTTCCTCTGTACATTCCCCTCAGACTAGACAGTTTGCACACATCTGTGTTTGTGCACAGTTTAGCAGGGACCATGGAGCTTTACTTGATGGCCAAGGGTGAGCTGCTCAAAGCTGCACAGGCTTATGGTGCCCCAAGCTCATCCCAAACTTGGGCCTCCCAGGTCTACCCACCCTTCTCCATCTGGCGCTGTGCCAGAGCTGGGAACTGCAAATGGGGGAGGGAGCTGCCCACCCTGAAGGGTGGAGGGGCTGAGCACACCCCTGGTAGGCAGAGGCCCCACACTCAGACTCAGCGACGCCGCTCCTCCTGCTCCTTTCCCGTGCCTTTGTCTGAGGTGGTCTCCGACACTTGAGTAGATGTCCAGTGGCCTGTGGCCATGAGGTCCCTGAAGCCCTCAGACTGCAGCCTCCCTCCCATCCGCCTCTTCCAGCTGCCTTGGGTCTGGGGCTGCAGCTTTGGCCCCACCCCGCCAGTCTTCCCCACCCCACCCTCTTTCAGTCCCCCGCACCTTCTGGAGTCCCCTGGAGACTTGCCATTGGAGGGCCTGGCCCTGGGTGACAGTGGGGTGGGAGGATGGAGGAGGCCGGCGTCCCCAGTGCAGATACGCCTTTGGCCTGGCTGCTCTGCTGGGCTGGCAAGGCAGGTGCCCATGGGTGAGGGCTGCTGCCGAGTCCCACCGCCTGCTGACCGGCTCTCATCCCTCCCAGTGCTCAGGCAGGCGCTGTGGCAGAAGCACCAGGAAGCCCAGCAGGCCTGCCAGCCCCACAACCTGCCTGTGCTCCAGGCGGCTCAGCAGCAAGAACTAGAGGTATGGGGGGCACAGGCAGGGTGGCCGCCCAGCTGTCCTGTGGGCACCACCTGGCTTGGCTGACTGGAGGGGTGTGGGGGCTCAGGCGTGGGTGGCTACCCTGGGCCTGAGTGGGCCACTGGAGGCCTAGTGAGTCCCACCAAGTGGCTCCTCCCTGAGGGTGCCAGGTGTGCTGGGGCTGGGTGGAGGGTGAGGGCCCACCAGTGCTCCCCTGGATAGCAGCTCCTCGTGGGTTGGGGCCTCCGCAGAGCAGGTGGCCTTGAGGGGGTACAAGGGCAATGGTGGGGTGATGGGGCCAGCCAGGAAGGGGCCCATCCTTCTCCCAGGGAGCACAGGGACAACCAGAGACTGACATGTAACCAACAAGCCACGGGGCAGGGTGTGCCTGCGGAGATGTGTGTGTGGTCCCAAGGCAGCCCCAAGTTAGGGCATTCGTGGAAGCCCCTTAGGGACCCCTTCAGGAGTTCGCATGGCCGAGGAGAGGCCTGGGTGTGGTGAGGATGCATCGGTGGTGTCAGAACTGGTGCTGCTGGGGACAGCAGCAGGAGCATGTGTTTGAGCTGCCCTCCCCCTCCCGCCCCACCCCCCACGGCAGGCGGTGGAACACCGGATCCGTGAGGAGCAGCGGGCGATGGACCGGAAGATCGTCCTGGAGCTGGACCGGAAGGTGGCTGACCAGCAGAGCACATTGGAGAAGGCGGGGGTGGCTGGCTTCTATGTGACCACCAACCCACAGGTCAGCGCCTGGGCCTGCTCCGCCCTAGCCCGAGTGCCCATGGGCCCCGCAGACCCCATTCCATCTGGGGTTTCACCGCTGGTCCCTGGGGAGCCAGGCTCAGCGTATAGGGGGTGAAGTGGAAGGATTGAGACTCTGGAAAGGATTTTTCTGCCATTCCCAGCACGGAGGCCAGGCCCATTCCCTACAGGAGGGTGAGCCAGCCAGCCACGGGGCACTGCCCACCCTCCCCAGGCCTGCTGTGCCCCACAGGGCCCTCTTCTGCTCCCCTCCCACATGCCATTCCGAGTGGCCCTGCTGGGGGCAGAGGCTCAGATTCCACCCCATCCTGGCAGGCCATGACCAGGCTTCACAGGATGGCCGCCCGGTGGGCTCACTGCCTGGCACCCTTGGGCTGGGGTGAAAGGAGCCCGGGGGTCACTCTGGCCTTCACGGGGCCCCTCTATATTCCAGGAGCTGATGCTGCAGATGAACCTGCTGGAACTCATCGGGAAGCTGCAGCAGAGGGGCTGCCGGGCAGGGAAGGCAGCCCTGGGACTGGGAGGTCCCTGGCAGCTGCCTGCTGCCCAGTATGACCAGGAAGGCAGCCCTGTCCCACCATAGCCACAGGCAGCAGAAGTCTGGGCAGAGTTCATCTTCTTGACCTTTGGCCACTGCCTTCCCAGCTGCCCACAGGGGTCCCCTGCTGAGGAGAGGCCGGGTGGAACCCGGCTGCCTGTCCCCGTTCGTCTGGGACTTACTGCCAAATGCTAGGTTGGTCTCATAAAAGGCAGGCCGGCCCAGCCTGCCGCTGTCTGCTTCGGGGCCCGGCAGAGAGTGAGGCCGGGGGCTCTCACACCTTCTCACTCCACGGGGCACATCCCAGCCTGCACTGCGGGCCACCTGAGTGCTTGTTCTGGTCTCAGCTGCTCCCTTGGCAGCTGCAGCCCCCATGCAGAAGAGGCTCCGAGGCCCAAGCTCTGTGTGACCCAGAGAAATAAAGATGCCTCAGTGTGGCCCGCGTGTGGCTTGTGTGACAGCTGCAGGTTCTGCCATAACCAGGGCCCCAGTAGGGCCCCCACTTCTGCTGCAGCAGAGGCCTCTGCCTGGGGGTCCCTTCCTGGGCTGTGTGCCCAGCCCACCACCCCTCCCCCTGCACAGAGACTGGGACCCTCCAGCCTTTCCTGGTCCCAGGATGCCGTCACTGCCATCTGCACGGGGCCCCCATCCAAGCCCCAGGGCATGAGGACCACATCCAGCCTGCTTTGTGGGGCTGGGGCTGGAGAGCGTGGGAGAAGGCCCGGGGTGCAGGTGTGCGCCTGCCGCAGCCTGGTCAGTGTCCTGTGGGAACCACTAGGAGGCGCCTGATGCAGGTCGCTGGCGTAGAGGACTCAGGGCAGCAGGAATGGCCTGAGGAGGAGCCCCGGGGGAAGGCGTGCCAGGCCCACGTAGAGAGCTTGGCCTCTGCATCTGCATGAGTCCCCTCCATGCTGGCCTGGGCCCATGGGCCCTGCTGGGTCCTTGTGGAGTCAGGGTTGGGGGTGTCCAGGTCTGTGCAGGGCCTGGCCTCCAGGAGCAGATGATGCTGGAAGCCAGAGTCTGGGGTGCGACTTCTCTGACCCTGTGTGAGCCACTCCCTCTTTGCTGCCCAGAGCTGACCCAGTGTGAGGGCAAGGGCTGTCAGCTGCAGAACAGTGGTTTATTGACCAGGCAGGGCCTCCCCAGCCCGGCCTCTGCTCCCCGAGGGGCTCGGGTGTGTGGGCTGGCCCTGGCAGAAGGCGGACAATCCTCTAGGCCCAAGGACGTGGGGGTCACAGAGGTGGGGGCCTTGGGCCCACACATCCGGGGAGAGTTCCCAACCGTTCCCAGTGGCTATCCCAGGCAGGTAGCAGGTTCGGCCCACACCTGAGTGCCCAGACCCTGGGCAGGGGTGGGAGGCACCTGACCCCACCTCCAGCAGCTCTGCAAGTGCTGAGAAAAAAAGGTGAGTCTGTGTGAGGATGGGGTTGGCTGCAGCTGTGGTGATGGCCCGGGGTGGGGCCTGGAGGCTGAGGGTGGGCTGGCGGGTGCTAGGCAGGGTGACGGAAGAGGCTGCCAGTTCGGAGCCGCCACAAGAGCTCCAGCCACAGCAGCTGCCGAGCGCCCTTCATGAGGCTGCTGTTCTCCAGGGCGCGGCGGGAAAAGTAGGGCAGCACCTCCATCACGGGGCCGTAGGGCACGTACTTGTAGCCAGCCTGGCCTGCATGGGGGCAGATACGCCATGAGGTCCAGGCCCAGCACTGCACCCCATCACACCAGGGAGGGCCCCACTCACCCAGCAGGAAGCTGATCTGGTCACACATGCCTAGCAGCTGTCCAAAGTACACCTGGTGGTCAGCGGGATGCAGGCACAGCTCCTCCATTCTGTGCAAGTAAAGCCAGGAGCTGAGGGCCAGCTCCAGGACACTGTCCCTGGTGCAGGGGTTCAGGGCTCCTGTCCCAGCTGTGAGCCCGTCCTACTACCCCAGATCCCCCATCGACACTCTCCAGACTTCATCCCCTGCAAGGTGGGGCTGGGGTATGGGCTCTGCCCGGCCCTGCCCCAGTGAGGCCTCTTTCCAGCAGGACTCTGCTGGGCTGCTCTACTCTTCTCCCTGGGGAGGCCTCAGCCCTTAGCCAACAAGATCCTCCTCCTGCTTGCCCCACCCTCCCCTCTGCCACCTCTCCTCTACCTCCCTTCCTGGAGGTGCGGCCCTTCCTGGGGTCCTGACCCACCCAGCAGCCTGCCCCACAGGGCAGGGAAGCTCCTCCGCTCTCCTGCCATCCCTTCCTCAAGCCCCTCCAGGGTTCTGTGGTATGACTGGTCTCCGGCCCTGCCCTCGCCCTCTGTGGGCTGCTCCTCTGCCCTATCCCCACAGCTGCTCTGTCCCACACAGCTGCCACCAGCCCCCGAGTCCTCGGAAGGCGGCTGTTCTGAACCGAGATGTGCTGCACATGTCACATACACATGGGATTTAGGAGACTTTGTAGAAACATAATGCTCAATGCCGCGTTGCTTTTGTAAAAGCAGCTAGAATACAATTTGAAGTAATATTTTGTATATTTTGGGTTCATTAAAATGTATTCTTGAAATTCATTTTATCTTTTTTAATGTAGCTACTAAAAAATTTTACAGATGTGGCTTGTATTATATATCTATTAGCACTGCTCAGATATTGGGGTGGGGACCTCAACTCTGTCCTGTCTTCACACCACCCCTGACAGGGTCTTACAAAGATTCTCAAGGTTTGAAATATCCATGCAGTGACAGTTCTCATGTTTCATCTCCAGCTTCCTATATCCAGGTATCCTGACTTAGCCGGTCTGCACAGCACTGGGGCCCCCACCCTGGGCCGAGTTCTGCCCGCTCCTCATACATCACCTGGGTGACTGGCGGGGCCTGTGCTGTGCTTCCCACTCCCTCCCCTCCCCTGTTCTCCACCCGCCCCAGCCCTGGCTCCCAGAGTACCCATCAGCCAGAGGCCCTTTCCCTCCATCCCTGGGCTGGGCTCTGGTGTCGGGACCACCCAGTCTAAAGCAGGCACCTGTCTCTGCCACATCGCCCTGGTCTCCATCGAATGTCTCCCTCAACCCCAGGACATGAACCCGAGAGCCGGGCTGCCACTGCTGGCTGCCCCCTCCCCTGTGGTGTGCACGGCCTCTGCCATGTGACTGCAGCTTCTCCCAGCGCAGGGCAGCAGCTCACTCTGCCTGGCATCTGGGCTTGGCCTCATGAGGCACTTTGGCCAACAGGGAGGTACCAAAGGTGACACAAGCAGAGGCTTGCCCTCTACAGGCCTTCTGGAAGCCTGAGCCCACCACATGCCCAAGCCTGGGCTGGCCTGTGGGACACTGGACCTGGGTACAGCCTCCTTTACTGCCCCAGCCATGAATGAACTCATTAGGCCCCACCAGCCCCAGATCACAGACGCAGGAGGGACACAGGCACGGCCAGCAGCAGAAGCACCAGCTGAGCCAGCCCGCTCAGGCCTACAGAACATGCCACTGCTTCAGCCTCTAAGTTTGGGGCTGGTCGGTTCCTCGGCCAAAGCCAACTCGGGTTGTTTGAGGGTGGGTGGTGTGGCAGTCTGGGCCCGGCATAGGACAGAGCAGCTGCCATAGTCTAGAAGCACTTACTCAGGGGAGGGGACCCCAGCTCCCCAGAGCTCCCCAGCCACCCACAGCAGGGGCACAGAGCTGAAGCCTGCAGGGGTCCAGCCTCAGGCAGGGTTGTGAGCATGGCATTGGGGGAACCTGGCACAGGGCCCTTGGGGGCATGAGGAGAGAGCCCGGCTGCCACTCAGGGGAGGGGGAAGCTGTGTCCAGTGGGGAAGCCACCGCCACAGCAAGACAGTGGGGACAGACAGGTGCCGGGGGGAAGCTGGAGAGAGGAAGCCCTGCTGAGGGCAGGCTGTCCTTTTGGAGTTGGATGGTGATGTGTCTAGTCAGGCTGTGAGCCCACCAGCATTGAGAGTCCACCCAGAGGCCGGGAGTCCTCATTACAAGCTGAGAGGACCCACCAGCTCCTGAGTGCTGGCTCCTGCTGGCCGCCAGGCCTGTGCGTGTGGAGACAGTGAGTCTGTCCCATCACCGACACATCTATGACAATTAGCAGAGGGTCAGGGCACAAAAGCGGGTGTGCTGCGATTTCAGGCCATGAAAAAGCAGCAGCATCGTGAACAAAGGCCGAATGTGGACATAACTGAATGATTTCAGAGCCGTGAGTCAGCTCCCCGAGCAGCACCAGGATGTGTCCTGTTGGCTGCAGCCCTGGCCCCAAGCCTGGCCCTGTGGCTTCACAGCTCCTTGGGGAGCCCCCTCGTGCCACAAGCCCTGGATCTGGAACACCCTGCCCTGCTGTGGAGTGGAGCCCCTGCTCAGCTCCTAGGAAGGTGAGAGCCAGCGAGGCCACTGCCCAGGCCCCCGAGGGTTCTAGGGGTCCCGTCCCTGGGAAGGCAGAATCTGGGAGGGGCGGGGGACCTAGGACCCCATTGTGTGCATGGCTTGGGCTAAGGCATGAGATAAGACCGGGGTGAAAGTACTGGAATATCCAAAAACTGACTTCACCTAACTGCTGCATTTGACTTGTTAGAATTCTACCAAAGTTGTGCTCCATGGGACACATGTTTAAAGAGAAAACAGACCATTACATTCCAGATGTAGTTCAAATGTTAAGGGAACTGCTTATAAATGAGGCGGCACTGTGGAGGCCTCCTGAGGGACTGGGCTCCAGCACTGCATCTGTACCTTTCAGGAGCCTTCCGAATCCCCTAATGAAACTTAGGTTTTTAATTGTGAAGTTTAATAAGTCAGATGTTAATTTTTAAAAGGCTAGTTATAGTGGCTCATGCCTGTAATTGCAGCACTTTGAGGGGCCAAGAAGGGAGAATCACTTGAGGCCAAGAGTTTGAGACCAGTCTGGCCAACATGGTGAAACCCTGTCTCTGCTAAAAATACAAAAAACTAGCTAGGCATGGTGGTGCACACCTGTAATCCCAGCCACTTGGGAGGCTGAGGCATGAGGAGTTGCCTGAACTTGGGAGGTGGAGGTTGCAGTGAGCCGAGACCACGCCACTGCACTCCAGCCGAGGTGACAGAGCGAGATTCTATCTCAAAAAAAGATGTTAATTTTAAAAACCAACATAACTGCAAAGAGCGTTTGTGCTCTCACAGTCCGACGTCCAGAACGCCGGCAGACCGGGCCTGCAGGGCACTGAAGCTGCCCTCCAGCTCCTTTCACCAACCTTTCCCCACAACTGCCCGCCTGCACCCAGCAAGTTGCTCTGCCCACCCTGAGCCCTGCGCTGCTGCCACCTCTCCCCAACCAGAGGAGCCAACGGCTCGGGTGGGGTGACAGTGCAGGGTGGGGCGCACCTACCTGCGCAGCGTGAAGCGCACTGTGTCCTCATTGTGGGAGGCCACCATCACCTTGGCCTTGGCGTTGTGCTTCAGCTCCTCCAGCACGTAGTCCAGGCACCTGTGGAGAGTGCCGTGGTCGCCTGCGCCTCTCATTACCAGCACACAGAGAGGAGGCCGAGGGCAGGCCCAGGGCCATCCAGTGAGCTGGCTCTTTCCAAGGGTGTCCACAGGATCCCACAGGATCAGGAGGAACAGGAGCAGCATCTGCCCCTCCCAGCACCTCATGAAAAAGAAAGACCAGCAACCAAGAAGAAGTGAGCGATGTCTGGGACCAGACAATTCACACAGAACCAGCTGGGGTGCAGCGTCCCTGCATTGAACGTGCCATGACGCTGGGGACCAGCCCAAACATGTCCGTGAGCCTCATGACAGACACAGCTTTGCTTCTGGGGAGGGATCCTACAGTGCCCCCCGGCCCTGCAAGGAAATAAGAGGGAAGCAGGTCCCTGTAGGGCACAGTGGGGGTGGGCATCCCGATGCACCAGGAAGCCCAAGCCGTACCGCCCTCCTGCAGCGAGGACACAGCAGCCTTGACCATGCGCACATTCTCTCTGACCAGCAATTCCATTTCCCGGAACCTAGGACGGCTGCGTCCTCAGACACAAAACCCCTGAAGGCCCGTGTGTACCACAGAGGGTGACGGTGTGTCCAGCAAGTCCCTGTTACAATAAGCAGACTGAACCCAGTAAGATCAAAGATACCGGACACACAGCCCCGGGCACCCCATGCTGGCTGGTAACAGCGCCACTCTGCAAGCCCACACAAGGGGACCCAGATGGAACGCGAAATGAAAAGCACATTGGGCAGAGAACACACTACAACGCAAACAACAATGGCGGAGATGTGTGCGCTGCGGCACGAGGGGCACGGTGGCGGCAGGAGGGGAGCTGCAGCCAACCAGGAGACACCTGGGGTCTCTGAATTTGCAGCACACACGCCTCTAAGAGGAAAAGCCCATGGTTGGCCAACCTGTGCTACATGAAAAGATCACCAGGAAACTAGAGCAGTAAAAGCAGGTGCAGAACAGCTGATGGGCGATCCCACTGTGTGAACTGAAAAGCAAACAGGCTGAGCCTGCGGGGCGGGGAGGGGCAGGTGCTCATGCACATCTCTGGATCTAAGTGTCTGCAGGAGCCGGCTCAGGGAACTGTGGCCTATTTTGCTTTGTTCAATGGGCTTTTCTATATTTGTAAAAGAATAACCTTAATGTTTTTGAAAAAGCAACACATGACACAAAAGCAGAGGAAATACCAGTTCTGACCTGGGGACATATGAGGCTGCCACTCCTGCTGGTGTCTTCTGGCCCCAGCAGGGTGGGACAGGGTCAGTCTCCAAGCCTCTCCCTCAGGCCCAGTTTCTTGACGCCCTGCCCTGGGAAGATGGAGGCGCGGGAGAGCTGCGCACCTGTGGTACATGGCGTTGGTAGCCTTGTACACGGGGTTGATGGGGTCCTCATAGCCGATCTCTGCCGCACGGGCTCGCTCCTGGGCCAGGTATGCGCCCCGCACCAGCTTGGCCCCAAAACACCAGCACTCACGGCGAGCCAGCTCCACGCCCAGGGTCACATTGTCATAGGCATCCTGTGGGGCCAGGGCCAAAAGTTGCAGGGAGCCTGGGCAAACCCAAGTGACAGCAGGATGGGGCCTTCCTGGGCCCAGGTGCAGTCACCAGGGCTGGGCAGCAGCTGCCTGGGGAGGTGCAGCTCAGGGCACCTGGAGCAGGTGTGGGTGAGGATCTGTCCCCAAGGAGCAATGGCAATGGGGATGTCTGCAGACTCCTGTGTGGCCCGTGGACAGCCCTGTGGGAGCAGCCCAGGCACCAGCAGCCATCATGTGCTCTAGACTCCCAGGCCAACTGGGGGATGGGTGCGTACTGCAGGCTCCTGCCTGGACCCCTCCCCATGCCACCCTGTGTCCTCCGGGCACATGGCTCACCCCTGAGAGCTCTGAACCTGTTAACATCCCTGAGCAGTTTGGGGCCCACAGGCTGGGGTGGGCTCCCTGAATACATGTGACATCCTGGGTGAGTGTTTCCGGAGAGGGCTCAAAGCTTTCATCCGGTTCTTAGGGGCATTGAACTGAAACACGCAGGAGGAAATGGTCATGTGGTGCCTTCCACGTTTGGGGTGTTGGGCACATCTAGTGGACCCTCATAAAGATCGCTGTCTTCCTCCTGCTCCTTAGACACTTGGTGGGTTCCGAGAACCACAGGAGAGGCTGCGGGCAGCGGGCCCTTCTTCCTACTCTGAGGCAGTCACCCAGCCTCGGCCTCCTCTGCAGGCCTGGCTGTGGCCACCACCTAAGAGGCTCTTTTCTGGACCCTGGGGCCCGCCCTGGGTGAGCTGTGCTGCAGAAGACCCCAGCAATCCCTTGGGGACACGGCCCACTTCCTCCTCCATCCCGTGAGCTCCCTGGCGGGTGCTGAGTGTAGAGCCAGGCAAATGCCAGGGAGCTCAGATGAGAGGAGCCCCTCCTGTGGGGTCTCCAAGCCCCAAGGCAGGCAGGGAAGGGCGGAGTGGGGAGCTTGCCTTGAGATAGCACTGGTACGTGTTGAAGATGAGCGGCTTCTCCACATTGAACTTGCGCTGCATCTCCAGCATCAGGAGGCTGATGGCCGGCTGGAAGTAGGTCTGCTCGGCGTCCACCATCAGCCGCACGCCCACCTCTGTGGCTTTCTGAGAGGTGTAGAGGGTGGGGCAGTGGGAGCAACTGTTGCTCAGGTGAGGCAGGTGCCCTCTTCTGCAAGAGTCCCAGGTCCCCAAGGCCCCAGCCCTCTGCCCGAGCAGGGCAGCTCACCTTGACCAGGACATCCATCCGCTGTAGCATCCTCGTCATCTGTAGCTCCTCCTCCTCAGTGAACCGGGACAGCACGGGCTCCAACTGTCCTGTCTGGGGGTGCAGCACACGGTCAGGCCACAAGCGAGGGCTGAAAAGTGCCACCCTGAGGCCCAGGCTAACCCTTTCTCAGTGTTCCCAGCCCACGGGAACCCTCTGACCCGCCCACGCAGGGCCGGGAGGGCCACCTGGACACAGCAACACGCAGCCAGTGCACTGCCCTACGTGGGGCCTGGTGGCACCATGAGGGAGCTCATTGGCCATGTCAGTGGGCCCCAGGCTCAGTCCAGGCCTGCACCCCAACGTGTGTACTCTAACAGCCTCCCCAGTTCCCACAGAGGCCCCACTGTTGTGGGAGGGCCCCCTGCAGCTCCCATGTGATACTGAGGAAGTGAACACTGACCACCCAATCGTCAAATAGAAGGCTCCGCCCGGAGCAGGGAGAGGACCCAGGAGGAGGAAACCCTGGTTACAGGCTGACAGGGCGGTCGTGCAGCACATGCTGACACATGGTTGGGGACCAGGGCAACCTCCAGGATGAGGCCTTCAAGGAGCTGGTGCTCAGAGGCCATGGGGACCCATCCTGCAGGGCCTCCCGCTCACCCCTTTGCTGCCCCAGCAGCCTCGTCTCACTGAGCGCACACAGTACCGCTCTAGCCCTTGCTACACCATGCTAAAGTCTCCAGCAGGTGGTGGCCTTGGTGCACAGCCGCTCTGTACACACTGCGCCCCGAGGCTCTGGGTCGAGGTCTCTAAGTTTGAGGCTGGGCCCTCAGTGGACTGGGGCTGGATGTGTCACGGAAAAGCTGCCTCTGCAGCATGTTTTCTGAAGGTGCTTCTGTTCTTTCTTCGAATCCCAGCTTAGGCTGTGGTTTCAAGCATTCTGCCAGGTCCTGGGCCCCCCTCCCACAGGCAGATGAGTCTCATTCCTCTCCCCGCTGTACACAGGCTGGCCTGGTGACATGTTTCTAACACACAGAACTCGGCAGAAAAGACACCGTGTGACTTTTGAGGCGAGGCAGGAAAAGGTCACCCAGCTTCTGCCTGGCTCTCACGTCTCAGGGGACACTGGCCCTTAGAGCCCAGCTGCCGTGTCGGGAAAAAGCCCAAGCCACAGCCAGCACCGACTTCCAGACATGCGAGTGGGCGCCTCCACCAGGTCCCAGCCCACCACTCTGTGAGCGCAGCTACCCAGGAGACCCCAAGGGAGGACTGTCCGGCTGAGCCCCATCAACCCCAGAACCATGAGGGAGAAGCAGAGTGACTGCTGCGTTTCAGGCCTCTGAAGTTTGGGGTGACCTGATGCACAAGACAGATGACTTGGGGAAGGCCCAGACCCCCTCTCCTTGTGGTGTCTTAAGGCTCTGCGTGGGTCTCTGTCCCACCAAGCACTCTGTGGACATGTGTGGGTTTGTCTCCTTCCCCCTGGACCATAGGGGGTCTGTGGGGCCATAGTGTGCAGTGATCTTGGTCATGGTAAGTTCCCAGGGTGGGCAACAAGAGACACGCATGGCAGGCTGAACTCCCTTCTCAGCCCAGCGCCCTGCTGAGCGGGGTCTCACCGAGGAGTGGAGGTGTTACCTGTGCGTTGGGGACCACCAGGTGCTTGGAGAGCTTGGTCCTGCTGTCGATGAGGCTGCCCCAGTCCAGCAGGTCCACGGTGCTGAGGGAGGAGGTGCATCAGCACAGGGGCGACCCCACCTGTGGGTGCTAGGGTCGGGTGGGGGATCCAGGCCCAAACCTGTCCGTTCACCAACCACCACAAAACCCACCTCGGTGTGCAGTTTTAAAGGACAGAGAAGGCTGAGGCAGGAGAATGGCATGAACCCAGGAGGCAGAGCTTGCAGTGAGCAGAGATCGCGCCACTGCACTCCAGCCTGGGCGACAGAGCGAGACTCTGTCTCAGGAAAAAAAAAAAAAAAAAAAAAGAGACAGAGAAAATGTAAATACTGTTCTCTGTTTAAAAATTTAAAACCAGTGGCGTGCAGTGGCTCAAACTTGTAATCCCAGCACTTTGGGAGGCTATGGTGGGCAGGTCACTTGAGCCCAGGAGTTTGAAACCAGCCTGGGCAATATGGTGAGACCTGGTCTCTATAAACATAAATTAATTAAAATAATTTAAAACCAAAACACCAACAGTCCTGTATCTAGGCGGCTCTGAAAACACTGAATACCCTAGGGCTGTTTTGGGCTTGTGGAGGGGCCGAGCATAGGCAGCCAGGCAGGAGGTGGACACAGCTCCGGGGGCCAGGGAGGACACAGTGGGCAAGGCTGCCAGTATGTGAGGGGATGGCTCACTACTGCACCACCCCAGTCACCTCCCCACTTCAACTGGGGGCTCCTGGTGACCTCGGTCCCAGCCCCTGACCCCAAGGATGGGGCGTGGGGCTCTGATCCTTCACCTGCCAGCGTGGGCTCCAGGGGACCTGAGAGTGCCACCTTTGCTCTGGACCCAGATAATTCTATAAAGAGCCCTCTATGGGGGCCTCAGGGACCTGAGGTCATCAAGTCCTGCTGTGTGAAAAGCAGCTCCTTCAGCACTGTCATCCCAAGGCCCACCCTCTCAGGCAGGGCAGCCAGGAAGGGGAGACGCCGCTGGGGCTTGGCTGGAACCATGGCTGATGCTCGTGTCCTCTCAGCCTGGGAGCTGTTCTCACCCAGACACTCCCAGGGTCTCCGCCGTGAACCAGTCCTCAATCTCAGCCTTGGATGCGATGCCCATCTTTGCAACACTTTCCTTGAGAAGTGAGAAGGCCTGGATCAGCCCCATTTACTCACATTTTATCCTTCCCCCACCCATTGGCCTCTGGTGCTGTTTCTGGCTTTATTACATCATTAGCGAGAACGGGATCCATTTCTGGTTTGTTTCTACTGCATGGACAGGTCTACTCCCACCCCGCTGCTGATGCTCGCCCATGCCCTGCAGGGCTGGTCCCCAGCCCTCCCACCAGCATCTCCCCCCTCTGTTCAGAGTCCCTCCAACCTCCTCCTCCCCCCTCAGGCCAACCCCAGCAGCCGCAGAGTGAGCCACATGCCCTGGATGAGTTCCCCAAACCACCTCAGACCACTGCCCACCATGCCCCCTGTGTGACCCCATGGTGCCCACCCCCGCACAAGCCCCGGAAGTGGGGAAGGGGAGGGCTGCCCCACCTGCAGCACGGCCACCTCCAGCTTGGTGTCCACGCCTGGCCAGCCCACAGCAGGCTCCTGACCCCACCCCACCCCACCCATGAAGTCCCCGCACATGGCGCTCTGGAGGTCCTGTAGAGATGGAAAGGGGCTCCGTGGCGGGGTTTGTGTTTGCCATGCAGGTGCGGGACAACAGTGGGCACAGGAGCTGCCTGTCCCCTGCCGAGCAGCCCCCACAGGCTCTCTGCCTCGGTTTCCTCCCCTGTGCCACCAGCACCATAGGCTGCTCACCCGTGAGTCACAGGACCCAGAAACACCCAGCGTGGCTAAGACAGAGACACCCCAGCGAGGCCCCCTTGCTCACACCTCTGCCCCAGAGCCAGGGTCTCCCAGGCACCTCTGATGTTCCTGCCCCCACAGAGCCAGCCCGCAGTTCCACCCGGTCCTCCAGGCCGACCCTCCTGCAGCATTCTTGCCCCTGACACTTCTTTCCAAGCAGCAACCAGAAATGTTCCTTTAAAGTGAAAGCAGATCTTACCATCTCATCTTGTTTAATGTTACCCCAATGCAGGGCCTTCCCCTTCCATCTGCCCCGGGAGAACAGGCAATGGGCGAGAAGACGCTCCTCACCCTGATGGCCCAGCATTCAGTTGGCCACTCTGACCCCCAGCCACAGTCAGGAGGCGGCTTCCAAGCACTGCTCAGAAGGGCCAGGTGCAGTGGTATGCACCTGTAATCCCAACACTTTGGGAGGCCCAAGTGGAAGGTTCGCTTGAGCCCAGGAGTTTGAGACCAGCCTGGGCAACATGGCTGGTCTCAAAATATGAAAAAATATGAAAATTAACTGGGTTTGGTAGTGTGCGCCTGTCATCCCAGCACTTTGGGAGGCCAAGGTAGGCAGATTACAAGGTTAGGAGATAGAGACAATACTGGCCAATGTGATGAAACTGCGTCTCTACTAAAAATACAAAAATTAGCTGGGTGTGGTGGTACATGCCTGTAATTCCAGCTACTCAGGAGGCTGAGGCAGGAGAATCGCTTGAACCAGGGAGGTGGAGGTCACAGTGAGCAGAGATCAAAGCACTGCACTCCAGCCTGGTGACAGAATGAGATTCTATCTCAAAAAAAAAAAAAAAAAAAAAGAAAGGAAACAGAAAAAAGAAAACTGATCCGGTGCCTTCCTAGTCGCCTCTCCATCCCAGCCACAAGGTGGGCGTGGCTTCTGTATGGCTAGCCCCTGTCCCACTCAGCTGCCACCTAGGATGCCCGTCCTTGCCCATAGCTGGCCACTGCCTCCCCTGGCATTCCTGCCCTGCTGCCTCCTCCTCCTACTGCAGCACCACCAGCACTGGCTGCTCTTTCTGGATGCCCCTTAGATGTAGGCACTCCCCAAAGCCTCCACATCACCGTCCCTCCCCCTGCCAGTTCCTCTACCTGGGATGTCCCTTCTCACCTTCCTGTGCCCTTGGCCTGGGCTCTCCACGGCCATGGCTTGACCTTATGGCATCCATATGCACACAAGCACAGCAACGGCCTCTAAGAGGCCACCATCTGTCCAGTTCAGCTCCTTTTTCCTCCACCATCCTCCGCACCCCTGCCACCACTGGTCCTAGGCTGACCGTGGCGCTCCCCATGAGATTTGGGCCAACAGCATCTGACACTGATTTCGTGGACCTCTGCCCTCACCTCACACCCGCCGAGGCCTCACCTAAGCTCACGTGTGGCTCGGTGCTTCTCATCTCCCACCGCCCCCGGCCTCCCCGCGCCTCCCCTCGCCTCCTGGTGAGGCCAGGAGTGCAGCCCCCGACCTCCGAGTCTCATCTGAGAAATCACCACCACCAGACCACACACCACCCCCCTCCACGGGCGCCAACAAACCGAACTTTGCAAACTCTTCCCAGGGTCACCTGGAGATAACCCTCATCTCTAATACCCCTAGGCCGATGCGGCTACAACAGCGTTCTGCTTGTTGCCCCGCCCCCATCTCCACCAAAAGCCCTCACACTTTTTAAAGTTACCAAGGGCGAGTTCAAAGCTGGGCGTTTGAGGGGCTTCCCATTTTTCCCCAACAGTGTGCTCAGAGTGGCCCTGTCTGGGAAGTGGCCGGGTCCCGGGGATTGAACCCTGGGGTCCCAGGCTATAAGCCCTACACCAGGCTTCTCTTGTGGCAACATGAAGAATACTCCATTTTAAATTCCAAGTGATAACTTTGTATTTCCGCAAGTGGTATATATCGTAAATATTAAAACGATCATTGTTTTTAGTTGGTAGACATCGACAAGTAGGAAAATTTGCAAGGTCCGAAAGGGACTGCAGGAAACGCCTCCCTTCCTGGCTTCCCTCGCTCCAGGAGATGCTTGGGAGGCACCCCTTTCACGCCAGGAAGCTCCGTAAAGGCTCCCGGGACCGGCAGAAGCCCCGCGCCCCCGCCTGCACCCCGCGCACCTGCTGGTGCAGCGCCAGCAGCGCGGGCCAGACGTACAAGCGCAGCACCAGCAGGCTGCGCGCCAGCTCCCAGGTTCGCCGGCTGCGGTACGCCTCCTGCGCGTTGCCGAAGTCCACGGCGGTCACCGGTGGCCGCACTGCCTTGGCTGACCCACGTCCCGGCACGGCCCCTGGGCCGGCGGCGGGCTGCTAGCGGACGGCCGGCGCCGCGGACAGCGAGGCGAAGCGGGGAATGTAGGAGTGCAGGGCGGGTAGGATGCGCCTCAGAGCCATGGCGGGACGCCGATACCCGCCCGGGCCGCTTAAATATGCGCTGTTGGTCCCGCCCCGTCCCGCCCCGCCCCGCCCCGTCCAGTCCCGGAGACCCCTAGCCTCGCTTTCTCCTCAGGAGTCCCACGCTCCGAGCCGCGCCCACTCCTCGGGAGACACAGCCCCATCCCAAAGGCCCCGCCCCTCCCTAGCATCTGCACTCGCTCCTCCTGAGGCCCGGCCCCGCCACGCCCCGCCGTAGGGCCCATGCCTTCTCCACGTGAGTCCCTCGCCCCGCGCTCCGAGTAGCGCCCTTTCCCCAGGAGACGCCGCTCCACCCTAGGACCCCCGCTCTCACCTCTAGAGAACCCGCCCCAAGGTCCCAACCCCACCCCTGAAGCCCCGCCCCAACCCAAGGCCCGGCCCGCCCTGGTGGTCATGCTCCAGAAGACCAGCGCTTCCTCCGCAAGGGTTCCAGTACGCCCCAGGACCCACCGCCCTTTCTCCTCATGAGGCCCCGCCCCGCGCTCCCTGCCGCGCCCACTCCCCGGGAGGCCCTGCCCCACGCTCCCATCCTCGCCCTCTCCTCGGAAGGCCCCTCCCCGCGCTGCCAGCCGCGCCCAGTCCTCGGGAGGTTCCGCCCTGCGCGCTGCGGGCCTCTGTGAGTCTCGCGCGCCGCAGCAGGGTCTTGGCAGGCCGTGGCCACACCCCCGCGAGAGACCCGGTCCCCTGCTCTACCCGCCGCAAGCTCCGCCTTCGCCACAGGAGACCCGCTCCCTTGGGAGTGACACCCCGCCCCCTTGGGAGCGGGACCCCTCACCAGGCTTGCGGTCTCCCCACCACACCGGGTTTCCCGGGTCCCCAGGCCAGCCAGGTGGGTCCGGAACCCGCCGATCACTGCAGCCGCACACCCGCCTTCCTCCCTGGTCCTTGAGCCGCGTGGACTCACAGCTGAGGCCGGATCAACGGAGAATCCAGCCCTCAAAGTGGGTCCGCTTACTCTCTGGTCTAAATGGGTGTATAGGAAGCGGTCCTCTCCCTCCCACCCCACCCCCGCCTCAGGTCTCTTAGGGGCCTGCCCCGCGTTCCTCTCCTGTCCTCCCAGTCCCACTGCCCACCCAAGGACAAGCGCGCACCACTAGGCCCCCTCGGAACCTGGCAGCCCAGTGGTTCTTCCCTTCCCTGCCGCCCCACAAGGCTCCGCTGGCCATGCCGCCTCCCCTGTAGGCCCGGCCTCAGTGCCACCCGTGGGCGCCTTTGCCTGAATGCCCCTCCCAGATGTCACTTTCTTGGTGGAACCAGCCCTGACGGCCTGCCGTAGTGCATCCCTCCCCATCACTCACCGCTGGGCCCCTCGTCACCTCAGGACATTCCTGCACCCCATAGACACTGGGTCTGGCTGTGGGTGGCAGCCTCCTCCCACCTCACCAGCAGAACGCTTGCAACATCCAGGGGCCAGCTTAATGAAGAGCGTGGTCTATTTCAGCCAGTATCTGCTTCTCTCTGTGCTCCTTGCACCTTTCTGGAAAGAGCAGGAGGTACCTTGCATACCCTGACCTGTTCTGCAATGTTGACATTTGAGGCTGAATAATTTCCTTGTGGTGGGAGCTGCCCTGTGCATTGCAGGTTATGTATCATCATCCCTGGCCTCCAGGAACCAGAGGCCAGTAGTACAAACACACACAGACACACACAGTTGGGACAGCTGTAAATGTCTCCAGACATTGCCAGGTGTCCCTGGGGGACACCATCACCACCACTCTAGAGAAAGAGAGGCTTCCTGATAAATGGAGCAACAGTTTTTCTGCTCTTCTTCCTCCTGGTGGCATCACAGAGCAAAGGAGAGAGACAAAAGGAGTGAATGAGTCCAGGCTCACTTTGCTGGAGAGAGGCTAGGCTCAGCAGCCGGCCGTAGCCACCAGAGTCTCCCCTTCCCGAGGACTATCCCTCTTCCTGTGGCCCCTGTCCACACCTATCACACCTTTCTCCCCATTGCCTGTCATGCTGTCAGCTCCTCCTGAGCCCAGGCTGTTTGCATGCTGCTCTCAGGAACCCATCCCTCCCCTGAACCCCACACCCTCCTTCCTCTCCTCATCAGGGTCAGCATGGTGGGTGCCACCCCTGGCAGGCCCTCTCTGACCCCCAGGGCCCACCTGGGCACCTGTGTTGCTGCAACTCCCTCTTCTCTTCTTGCACTTGTTGCTGGTGACTTTGATAGCTGTGCCCCATCCACACTGCTGCCTTGATGTGTCGTTATTTAGTGAATGAAGGAAGGAATCGATGTGGGAACCCATGTGGGAAGTTTGACCCCAGTTTCTAGGCTGGTGACTGTGGGTTTGAGATGCATCCCCCAGGCCTTGCCCTGAGTCACCCTGGACCACACCCAGTCCTCACAAGCACCTTGGCACTTCAGCTACATGGTGGGGACCCTCTGCCGGCAGAGCTAAGGCCAAGGCCCACTGGCTTCCCAAAGTCCCTGTTCCTGCTCTCCGTGAAGACAGCCCTTTGATGCCACATCCTCTCCTCTGGAGGGCACACCACACTGGTCTGGGATGCATTCTTCTCCTGAGCATCTGTGCCTGGTTACCAGAATTGGAGCTCGGGTTCCTAGTCCTCAGCCTCCACCCAGGCACTGTGTGTTGGGATTAACTTGTCAACATTGGTAACTCACTCAAGAAGGTGAGAAGAGCCGACCCTGACCCTAACCCTCCCCATCTGGAGCCAGTACTTACCATGACTGCCATTTTCTGGATAATCCTGTTGATCTGATCTGCTCCTGGCCTGAGACCTCCCCTCTAATGCACTCATACCCATGAGAGAGAGGGGGTCCCACCAGCTGTGCCACCTCTCCTGCACTGTAATGGAGAAGGCTGTCAGCCCTCCACATCACACACACTGAGTGTGTGACAGTCAAGCTCACTGACTTACCGCCATGAGAAAACATTTTAAATGGCCCATTTTCAAGGCATGATAAATCTGAGTACTGGCAGCCAGCCTGCCAATGTAACAAACCGCATGGCTCATGCACCTAGAAGATCACAATAAGCAAACAGAATGTAGAAGAGGGGTCAGCCCATAAAAGGGAAGACAGTTTCATTACTGGGAAATTGAAACTTAAGCGGGGAAGGGGATGGGGTATAACCTTATAAGGGGGATAATGAAACTTAGCCAATGTCCTGGGAGATTGTAACCCCATAGTACTCGACCAGTGAGGAGGAGGGACTTGTGTGCTAGGGGATAAGTTACTTGCTGTGACTGCCCTAGTGTGCCTACCTACCAGACACCGATCTCGCAAGACCACTATTAAAAGTCTCACTTTTCACTTTTCGTGCCTCTGAGTCCATTCTTTGGGTTTGGATGGGTGAGCTTGTTTCTCACACTGCCACATTGCCTCTCCCAGTATTCCTGACAAATGCCACACAAGGGCTTAGACTTCATCCCTGTTCTTATGTGGGAAACACTGAGCACAATCTAAGCCGAAACACACCTGAAAAGGTCATGGCAAGGCCAAGGCAAAGCTCATAGACAGGGTGGTCCTTGTCATGCATGGCCCGTGGAGGAGCCAAGCCTGGCTTCAGCACCCCAGCCACCCCGGGCAGTCTTCAGGGCATTCTTAGTCCTGCCTCGTGGGTGCCAGGGTCAAGGAGGGTCCCTCACCTCACATCCTACCATCAAGCTTTTACTCTGTAGCCTGGGGTTCAAAACCGGAGGGTCTGAGGGTGACATCAGAGAAGTGGCAGATCGGGAAGCTCCAGGAACCCATCCCTCCCCTGGACAACAATGATACTGAAAGGAACGGTCTTAAACAGTGATTCTGGAAACCAGCAGAACGCTTGCAACATCCAGGAGCCAGCTTAATGAAGAGCCTGGTCCATTTCAGCCAGTATCAGTCAATTTCTACCTTTATGGGAACAGCTACCATCCCCGCAACCCTCAACCCAGTGGCACACAGAGGAATACAACCCTGGTGCACAGCGGCACTATTCACAACGGCAAAACGGTGCAAACAAAATGTGATCCATCCATACAGTGGAATATTATTAAACTATAAAAAGGAATGAAATACTAATGCATGCTATGACATGGATGAACTTTGAAAATATGCAAAATCAAAGAAGCCAGTCACATGCATGGAACTGGAGGAACTTATGTTAAGTGAAATGAGACAGAACAGAAAGTTAAACACCGCATGTTCTCACTCATATGCGGAAGCTAAAAAAAGCTGGCCTCATCAAAGTCAAAAGTAGAACAGAGGATAGTAGAGGCTGGGAAGGGTGGAAAGAAGGGAGGGAGAGGGAGAGATGTGTTGAAGGATACAAAATTACAGCTACATGGGAGGAATAAGTTCCAGTGTTCTACACTAATGTGGGATGACTCTAGTTAACAATAGCATATTATGGGTCAGGTGTGATGGCTCATGCCTATAATCCCAGCACTTTGGGAGGCCTAGGAGGGTAGAATCTCTTGAACCTAGGAGTTCAAAACCAGCCTAGGCAACATGGTAAATTCCCATTACTATGGAACATACAAAAGTTAGCCGGGTGTGATGGTACATTCCTGTAGTCTCAGCTACTCAGGGGTTGCTGAGGCAGGAGGATCACCTGAGCCTTGGGAGGTAGAGGCTGCAGTGAGTCACAATAGTGCTACTGCACTCCAGCCTGGGCAACAGAGTGAGCCCGTGTCTCAAAAACAAAACAAAATCTAAACCAAAACAAAAATTATGTATTTTCAGATAACTAGAAAAAGAATATTGAGTGTTCATAATGCAAAGAAATGATAAATGTTTGAGACGACAGCTATACTAATTACCCTCATCTGATCACTGTACATTACATGTATAGAAACATCACTATATACCCCACGAATATGTACAATTATTATGTGTCAACCAAAAAATAAAAATAGCCGAGTGTGGTGGCTCACGCCTGTAATCCCAGCACTTTGGGAGGCCAAGGCAGGAGGATCACTTGAGCTCAGGAGTTCCAGATCAGTCTGGGCAACATAATAAGACCTCATCTCTACAA